GTGGCAAACTGCTGTGCCAGCACATCACTGCTGGTTCCAAACGTCTGACGATGCCCTGTCACTACATTGGTCACAAGAACTCGTCGCGTCAGGCCTAAGGAAGACAGATGATGTTGGTTTAGCTGTAATTTGTGTAGCAGATGGGAGATGAATCAAGTCTTTCCCACTGAGACACAGGGGGTTGCCAGCCTTGCAGATAGATCACCTGTGCTAAAGCAGTTGTCTGCTTGGGGATTTAGGCACCAAGCGCAGGACCAGGCAGTGGATATCTTGAAACTGCACAGCATTCCAGGTCGAGCTCCTAGAAGACAGAAGCAACACATGAAGTGTTCAGAAGATGTTAGGACAGGATGATAACTCAGAAAGGTTCTTAGATTGCCACATTTATTTTAACATTTCAATCTGAAGGAGAGCAAGTGCCCAAATTTGTGTCCTTTTGCTGCTCAAGAGACAGGAAACAGAACTGGAAGTTCATGACTGTAAATGGGATGCCTACAGTCTATGTAAATAGATGATACTGAGAGACTGTTAAATTTATTCAGTAATCAGAGGGCTGACCATGGCAGGGAAGAGAACACTTGCCTTATAGCACTAAGTAAGCCATTTATCAAAAGATGAGTGGGCTAGAAATAAAAAACATTTACTTTATAAACTACAGTTTAGACAAAGCCTAACCTGTAAATTCTATGCCTGCTTATTAAAAAAAAAATAAAAAAAAAATTAAGCAATAAAACCCTAGATTTGACCCTTCCTCATGTAGCCCCTGCATGGAATTTATGCCAATTAGCAGAATACATCCCCGGTTTTTACTTCCTTCATGGCACATCATACCTACATCTGTCAGGTAGCAGAGGTGACGTGGACAAGAATGGATGGATAACATAGTTTTAGATAGTGTTAAGTTCTACATTCCTTCTGGCATCTACTGAGCAAGGCTCCCACAAACCACCTATTTAGGAGAGTGAAGGAAATCAAATTTGGAAATACCTAAAGTCAGTATGATATACTGAATGAAAGGACTGTGGAACTCATAGCAGCTAATTGTGGTGAAAGGCTTCAAATGTTTTAGAGAGCAGCTGGGTATGCTGGCCTAGTAGCCATCCACCCTCAGTGACTCTTTACTCAAGTTAATGCTGACTCTATGCAATTCTTTTTAATGGCTGCATATATAGTAAGACATAAAAAATTTAAAACTAGTCCATTACTCTTATCTATCACAGATTTCCTCTGTATAAATTTAATTGATCATGTCTGAATGGAAGTCAGATTAGAGCACTCTGTGACTTGAAGAAGCATGGTTCTAACATCTGTCAAGAAAGTCCAATTAATTAAGTCCTGTCTCCAAGAACACTGAACAAAAAATATCAGCTATAGCCAGACGTTAGATGTAGTGCCCTCCCAGTCAGTCAGGTTTCCATACAACTAACTGGAGCTTGTACGAGGAGCTATGGGCTGAGATATTTACCAGCTTTCCAGCTCTGATTTATGCACTGAGAATATCTGAGCAGCTGCTATGAGAAGGGATTCTGCAGTGACTGGACAGTAAGGGAATGTGAGTATTTACTGTGTGCAGCTTCCGAGTATTAATTACAGGCCAAGCTGATGAAAAATCTCAAGTGTTTACTTTACAAGTGAGGTGTTCTCCTGCCAAAGTCAAGTACTGCAGCAGCTAAAAATAAGCTAGGGCTTCGAATACTGCTTTCATCATCATTTCACTTCTTAAGCTGTTTTAGTCTTACAGGAATACAACAGCCTCAACAACTACTGAAAAATAATGCTAAAATAATCTTTCATTTGTGCTCTTCACATACCATAATTGCTACCAAAACTCGGAGACAAAAAACCAACAAAAACACCCTACCTGGGTTAGTGCTGCTGAACAATGATGCTGGAAGCAGACTGGCACAGCCTGGTGTTTCTGCAATTCCCATGAGACACAGCTTGCTGAAGTGAGTTAAGGAAAACTGATTTCTCCCTAGACTGGAACAAGGCTGCCTAATATTTATAAATGGAAAAAGCAAGATGCTCTGACACAGCTACAGCTCACAACACTTTTCCTTGAGACCTTTGATGTGCTTTACAGTTTACAACTAAGCTGTGACACTTCATTTCTTTCATAAGAACAAGCTAGAAAGATTTCAAATTCTTGCTTGTATATTTTCACTACCAGAAATAAAAGAGAATACTATTGTATCTTACTAGTGATAGGAAAAAGAAAATAATAAGCATGGCCTACATAGATCATTCTTCTCACTTTTTCA